ATTGCTTGAGTGGAACCAGGCCGAAAGGGAAGCGGCGAGTTGGTCGTCAGTGCGAGGGTGACATGGAGGAGATCGTGTGAAGAGGAGTTGAAACAGTATGGACTAACATGGTGGATGCAGGTGAAAAGTACAGCAGAAGCAAGTGGAGACGTGCAGTTGAAGCCGTATGTTCCACTAGGAACCCAAGGGAACAATAATAATAATAGAGTACTTTACTCTGGCGAGTATTCAAAACATTTATAACCTGCTGATTGTTGAGTATCTACTAAATTTGAAAAAGTGTTATCCTAGATGACGGTTTATCTCAATCCATGAGATGAGGACTTCTTGATTCAACAAAGTGTACCCATGACCTTTTTATAATTGGCATTCAACCAAATGTCGTCGGGTGATTTCTCAAACGAGACAATGATGAGATATCATAATGAAATGGTTTGCGCTTCAGATCAGATAGAACTATGTCACACAATCTAATGTCAATTAATATTCTATTTGAAGATCCTGGACGAAGTGCAAATATCATGCAACAAACTCTGCTGACAATTCAGAATGAGGCTGCTATTATTATTTTCATTCAGGTGCCCCCCTAGAGTATTTGGCGCCTTATTTAGCATGAAGGTGAACTTTGCCAAGCCATGTCTGCATATTTGTTGGGTAACAGGTTGTTGACTTAGATATGATAGAGAAGATTTGTGGCTCAGGTGGATGATTTTGATGCGGTTGTGTTCTCTGAGCTGAATGGTTAATTTGTGAAGCTTTCATCACCCTACTGGGTGACATCTTCAGCGCATGCACTTTAATTTGAATTGAGCTTTTAGATTTCTTTACGAGTTTATTGATCATCTCTCCAGGGAAGGAGAGATGATGGTTTAGATGGATATATTGGCTTCACATCCTCAACTATGATGGTCTTAGCTACACAAAAAGTCTTTTTTTAACAGCAGCGTTCAATCTTTGTCTAGTTATCAAGCTGCTATTGATCACTTATGTAGGATGGCTTGAAGTACACGTCTTTCTTAGGGGCAAGTTGGAGAAAGTGGGTCTTGGTGTTCCTCTGGCTACTTTATATCACCTGATGAACTTATCTGGATAATTGTTATCAACCAGAGTTTTCGTGTCAACTTTCTTTCTTCGTTGGATTCTACTGAAGAGACACCTTAAGTATGTCTCAGATATACAACTATACAGAGATCATTAGGGAATGCTAAACGATAATCAATAGTTAGCTAATCTTGGTAAAAATGACTCATGATCATACATACTGACGCAGATGTGGTCACTCGATTTTCTTTATTCCAGATCATGAAAAACTGTGCTAACCCCTCCGTTTCACAGGTGCTTTATTTCTGTTCCCCTCATTTGAATAGCTTCTTTTTTTAACTGTGGCAACTAAGAGTGACTTACATTTGGGCTAGGCTCTGCTTTTATTCTTATGTACATTATCAAAAGATGAAACCGAAAGAATGTTCTCCTTGCTTTTAGGTAATCCAGTGGCTTCAGATTTTAATTTTGATATTCCAGGAGATGAAGGGATATACTGACGTTTACACAGAATACGATGAATACAAATGTAAGCTCTTATCCTCCAACTCCCATAGTACTTGTTCTGCTTGAACCGAAGACAAATCAAAATACTATATTGATCGTCCAAAACAAAAGATCATAATCGTAGTACGATGATGACTGCTTAGCTAGTTAGGAATCGTGCACGAACAAACGTAACGCGACAGCGTGCTAAACAATATGGATACTTCTTCCTTGAAGCTCTTGGTCACACAAACATAGTCAAATTTCCTACTCGACTAGACAAACAAAAACTCGATTTAGTTTTTACTAATGACGAAGGAGTATATGAAACACGTAGACGTGCACCGATACTTAACTCTGATCACTGTATTGTTTGTGTTTTACCAAAAATATACAGCAAAACACATATTAAAGTCTTTTCACATTTGTCTATGAAAGCACAACAAAGATGTTACACATCTGACAACTTACTCAATCTAAGGTGCATGTTAAAAAATACTAACTGGGATTTATTCAGTGAAAGTACATTAGATGACACAATCGTCAATATAACGGATTATCTTAAGTTCTGCCTTGACATATGCTGTCCCAAACAAACACTGTTCAAACGCCTCGACCGCTTCTCGTCTCCTCATCTCAAACAACTTCGCAGGCAAAAAGAAACATTATAAAAATTCAAAGATAACTCATGACTTAAAAAGATTAATGCCCAAATCAAATCTGAAATCAAAAATCTTAATGCTCTCTATAACCATACACTTTTATCATGCAAATCTCCTATCAGCATGTGGAAACTTTTCAATGAAATTACTGGCAATAGTAAGCGATGTAATGTTTTTCCCTCTTGTGATGTTAATGCTCTTAATCTGTCTTTTATACGCTCTCCTTCTACTATAACCACTTCTAACGTTACTAATCTTGTAGCTGATAACTTCCAGGACTTTAGTACTCTCGATGTTTTGAAATGTCTTAAAACTCTTAAGCCCTCACATAGTCTTGGCCCTGATGGTATACCTGCATATGTTCTAAAACAATGTGCAGATGCTTTATGTTCTCCCCTGACTAACATCCTAAATGCTTCTTTCTCCACAAAAGTTGTACCTGTTCCATGGAAAGACATTAAAATAGTCCCTGTCCCTAAACCTGGAAATAGCAAGAACGTAAAGTTCAGACCCGTTTCCATCACTTCCCCGTTTCTAAAGCTTATGGAAAAACTAACACTTCTTAAACTGGAACCCTCCCTTAAAAGCTTCGAAGACCCCAAACAATTTGCCTACAGACAGGGTAGGAGCACTTTAGACGCTGCAGCTGTCTTACACAACAGTATCGTCTCATCATTAGACAAAGGTGCCAAATATGTCCGCTGCACGTTTCTCGACTTCACTTCTGCTTTCGACTCTGTACCTAGATGTCTCTTGCTAAATAAGCTCTCCATGACACAAACCGAGTCCTGGGTCACTAACTGGTTGCATTCCTACTTTTCAAACAGAATGCAGTACACCGTATACAAAGGCGAATCCTCCTCTGCTGTGCTCACAGAAGCTGGTGTCCTCCAAGGTGCTGTACTCTCCCCACTTCTCTTTTCTTTCTTTCTTTCTACATGACCTACCATCTTCAAATGACATTAACTTTGTCAAATATGCTGATGACCTAACTGTATCTTTGCCTGTCAAATGTCAAAGTGACTGCTCTAAACTAAATGGCTTCTTATCAGAAATCAGCCAGTGGTCCAAGGAAAACGGTCTAACCTTAAACCCCTCCAAATGCCAAACAGTTAATTTCACCTTTAGGCATAAATCTGACCTTAACAAACTGGTTAGGTTGCACTCACGAGGTGTGCAACATAGATGGATGGCACTGAAATAGAGACCAAGTCGGAAATTAAATACTTAGGCGTCATTCTATCTGGTGATCTTTCCCTATTGGTCGTCTCATATCTTGATGATTTCTAAGAAAATATTCCGTCTTACCTAGTACATCAAGAAGTTAAGACATTCTGGTATAACCCAACCCAACTCTTACTCCTACGATTCGTTAACTCTTGCATCCTGCTTATTATTCTCTTTTGTTCCCCTTTAGTTTTTCCAGGGCTGGCTACTGAAGAAAGACTATACCTCATTACGCAGGATGTTAAAGGTTGTCAGCAGGGTAAGCAGTGTGCCACTTAGCCAGCTTGTTAATATTCTGGTGGACAGGCATTTGAACTCATGTGAAAAATGGGCTAAATCCATTCTATCTAACTCACACCACCACCACCACCTTCATTCATAACTCTCCCCTTGTATCTCATCAGGCAGAACCAGAAGCCTATATAGAAACAACTATATGCTCGCACTAGTAAGTACAAAAGCTCAACCATACCCTACTTGGCTCGTGTTCTGTGCGATAAAGAAAGCATTAGGCGTGATACCTATGACTTATTAAATAGTCAGTAGAACAATTGGATCTCGTCTTTCCAACTAATATGATTTATAGATACAACGTTTTCTTTCTTTCTTTTCCTTTTCTTTGTCTTTTTCTCTGTTACGTGCTGCTTTGTTTCTTTCTTCTGCTTACGCCAGTAACTATGCTAGAACCTACTTTTTCTAATACTTTGAAACATTCTGTTGAATTTTTGCCTTTGCTACCGACATGCCAATATGTTGTTGTCATAATGAACTGAGATTACCCATAATCTATGTAGAATTTTATTTATTGGTAATGCACAAACTGTATGGAATACGGTGATGAAATGCTGAGAATTCCATTCTGTGTCGCAAGTATTGTTATTTTGGAATAAATCAAATTATTATTATTACTTGACAACAAACCTTTAGCCTAACAAATTGACTGAAACAGTGAAGATCATCAGCATGTTCAATGTTAAGTGAAGAACGCTGTAGTCTAAAAATTTCTTAGAATTATTTATTGCCAGCCTTTACCAACAATTGCCTTCTTTAGCTACGTATTGAAGATCAGATAGCCAGAGGGGATTAAAGTAACAAAGAACTCCGTCAAGGAACCAACCAAAAAGCTATCACCTAACAAATATATATCAAAGAAAATAGAGGTATATTAGACAAACGCTAAATAAAAGGCCCTTGAATAACAAACACCATGTGCCACACCATTACTCGAGTGGAACCAGAATAGAAAACAAAAACGAATTAGACGTTCAAGAGGAGATCCTACCAGGAGGAGATGACAGACAACCTACGGGCAATCCAGAGAGCCAACTAAACACGACTGCAGGAAACACTTGGAACCCAAAGGAAGAAAAAAGAAAGGAACTAAATTTCAACTATATGTTGTACTATTTATTATATATATAATATGTATTATATATGTGAAAGTTTTGTAAACACAAAATAGTTTATCGAATGAACGAATTAATGAATGAATGAATGAATAGCAATCAGTTGAGTTTAAAAACTACCACGAAAAAAAAACAGGAGAAAAAAAGGCAAAAGATCCCACACACTCACCCACCCACCCACCCACACACACACACCCCAAAAAGGTAGGCGAGAAACGTTGGATAACACAAACACACAAAAAAACAACTTTATGGCTGAATAAATCAACGAGTGAATGAATATAGCATAGGGTTTATTTTTTCAATTTTAAATGTATTTTGATTAATAAAGTTTACAAATTGTTCAACAGAATAATAAGGATGGTTGATGGAAGTGTTTGATAATCGGGATGATAATAACAGTAATAAAAGTAATAATAATAATAATAGTATTAATATAACCCATAACACATGAATATAATTGACAGAGAACTTAAATGTATAATATAATATAATGGTATATATTTTAATTACAAGAAAGTGGTATATATGTATGTATATATTTATGAATTTTATGAATGTCAACAGTCAACGGAATTTTGTTGTGATTTTTGTGAGTAGTATTCATAGTAGCAGTAATAGTAGTAATAGTAGTTGTGGCAGCAGTAATAATAATAAGAATGTTGTGGCACCAGTACCACCACCAGTATGAGTAGTATCAGTATATAAGGATAATCAATAAACTAACAACATTGTAAACACGCTTAATAACAATTTTATAATGGAATAGTTTTGTTGTATGGTTGAAATACCCTTATTAGTAATAGATGCACCTTTGACTATTTTAGGATTATCTGAAAATATAAAACAAAATAGAAAAAAAAAGAAAATATTTAAAATTTGAAATGGTGTATTCATTCATTATTCTTATTTTTTCTAAAATGTACTCAGAAATTTTCTTTTTCTTTTCTGTTCTTTTGTCTGAAATTAACATTGAGTGCAGTTTAGAAAAAAGAAGAGAAAGAAAGAACAAATTGGTCTAGCCGGAAGGAAGCATAACGATTTGTTGGTTGGTTGAGGAGTGCATTACTTTGCATTTTGAGTGAACCATAAAAGCTGTTTTTATGAATTGCAACTGTTAACTTCACGTTTAAACTTTCAACTTTATCAGGGAGTTAATAACCCTACGAAAAGGGTGCATGGATGGATGGATGGATGGATGGGTGGGTGGGTTTGTGATTGAAAAGTGCATCCATCAGTTAGGAATATATTCTACTACTGACCAACCAATCGAACCGTTTGAACACTTTAGTAGTATATAATTTTTAAAAAATACAGTCGACTAAATATCATTTTTGTTTTTAAGATAACGTTTTGAGTACAACTTATTGCTTAAAATTATATCAATGGTAATAATATTGTCGACATCTCTGGTGTTGGCACTGTACAATTCAATAATAATAATAATAATAGCTTTATTCCAGACAGTATTTTGGGGGTGTTTTTGGTACAAATATGGGATTTCCAGTATGCAGTACAGTATTGCATCTAACTTACTCAATAAAACAGGACATTTACACTAATAATATATTGTTCAGTAGGAATATGAATATTAAATTAAGTGAAAATGCTAATGACAATATAATAATGAAAAAATACGGACGTTTACTTAGAGTTCCTCAGAATGTTGGTCATCTCCTGTCTTACACACACCTTTCTCATCACATAAAAAGTGTCCCAGCCAAATAAGGTATTGTAAAGTTTATATATTTAGTCGTTCGAGGATACACTCTTCTATGATTACTTCTAATTCTATCCAGCTGATGAGATACAAGGAGAGAGTTGTGCATTGAGACAGAGAATGTTCAGACTCCGACAGGATAATATTTACTGATTTCTTCTAGGAGTCTATCAGTCTATCTACAACAGTACTAACAAGTTGGTTTAGCAGCACTCTACTTACCCTACTGACAGCTTTTAGTACCCTTCGCAGGGGTAAAAATTTTTTTTCTTAAGTAGCCCGGAAAAGATTAAAGGAGAACAGTAATACAGCTTTGTTCTATGAGTGAGTTCAGGATCCTGAACTCATAACATAAATAAGAGAGATTATAGGGCATCTACTGTTATACCATATAAGGAGGGGACATCTGAGTCCCTCCCTACGTAGGATTCTTAATAAAGCAGGAATTATAGTGGCATTTAAACCTACAAACTCACTCAGGTAGGACAAGCTCTGTAGGTTAAAGGACCCTATTGACCCAATTAGACAAAATAATATAATTTACAAAATACCCTGCAAGGACTGTGAGTGAGGTCAACTACACAGGTCAAACTAGTAGGTCAGGGGTAGTCAGAAGTAAGGAACACAAGAATTTAGCTAAGGTAAGACAATGGTTGACCCCGAGAAGATAAGTAATTTAAAAAAAGCCCAGCACTACATTGCACTGCATGGATTAACAACCACACAATAGAGTGAGAGAGGGTTAAAATTCTAAGATGTAACATAGGTAGGTGGAGAGAGAGGTTGATTACTGAATCCTAGTTCATCGAGTCTACACCCAACACATGTAATAGGAATGACTCATCACTCAAACCGGAAATATGGAAAATACTCCTACCAATCAAATCAGGCGATGAAAAATAATGGAATTATATGAAAGAAGTTAGAAAGTTGTGTGAGTGAGTACCTTGATATGATTGTGAGCGGTAGTAATAAATTGTGCTCAAAACGTCATCAGTAAATATTACCGTATAACACTACACTGTGAGACTTTATCAACATAAATTTTACCCATAATGGAATTTAGCTTCAGACCATTTGAAAAGGATCACTGACTAATTTCTAATAAAAAGTTAACCATTTTTGAAACAGTCTTATTACAAATGTGTTATATAGATTCGATGAACACGGATTCAGTGATCAACCTCTCTCTCTCTCTCCCCATCTGCCTATAATCCATTTTAGAACCACAGCCTAATCCCACGCCATTCTGTGATTATGCTGTATTAATGCATGCATTGAAATTGCTGAATTTTCCTCTAAGTTAGTTATTTTTAGGGTCAATCTACGTAGACTTAGCTAAACTCTCAAATTCCGATACTCTAATTGATCCTTTTCTACTGGACGGACCTATGCAGTTGACCTTACAATCACTGCGAAGTATTTTGTTTGATTGGATCATTTTCAATCTACAGATTCCCATTTCGCTTCAGAGTTTATATTCTTGTGTAAGTTTCTAGGTTTAAATACATCATACTTGAAATCTGTCCATAGACTTTGTTTGTGGATACATTCATTTTACTTAAGTCTTGTCAAAAATAACAATATTAAAAAAAATTAAGCCTCAAGTGATATAAGAGTAGAGTATAATTCCAATCATAGAACACATTTATCTGATAAAATCACCTAGTCTGTCTGTTTTCGACATAGAACTTTGCACTGATAAGCGACAGTTTGAGTCGTCACACTCCATGTAGCACACAAAGCAACAGAAGAAAGTAGAAGAAATGCATAATAGAGACAGTAAACAAAGGTGTGAGACAAAGAATAGTAATAACGAAGAACAATATAGTTTTATTGGGTATTATAGGTCACAAGTAGTGGATGCATTTGCTCCATTGCGAACGATTTTGAGCCATATCACCGATTGTCTCCAGCCTTCATTAGTGTTTATCGTCCCGAGAACCGCAACTAGTAAGTCAGGAAGTCTACACCTTCCTACGTGGCTGGATTCATTGTGGATTTCATTGACTGATGAAGCCATGTTTCGGTCTGACCGCCGTTAGCTCTTTTCCAGCCTGACCCTATATCACCTGACATTGCCCGTCGAGGAAGGTGGTGGCTAGGCTGAGCATACGTAACACATGTCCTAACCATCTCAGTCGATGTAGCTTCACAGCCTAGTCGATTGATTTACCCTCCTTACCTAGAACCTGACACCTAACCTCAATATTGCTCACCTTATTATACCACTTCACACGGAAGATAGAGAAAATCACCTAGGGGTGCAGTACTATCCACGGATGATGGTTCGAGGACAAATTTACTGCCCCCCACAATCATATCAAGACCATCACATAACTTTCATCATCACTATCAAACTCTATAGGCTAAATGACCCTACTGGCTCAGTTAGACAAATTAAGTTAGTCTACACAAAATGCCTTACAATTACTATGAGGTCACACGAGTAAATCGAAGGTGGTCAGATTATAGGAACATAAAAATGTAACAAAGTGTAGAATGATTGACCTTACAATGCATCCACCATCATACAATAGGTTGGGACAAGGCTACAGTTCTAAGAAGCAACATAGTGAAGGTGAATGGAGAGGCTAACCGCTGAATTCTCTTATCCATCGAATCTACACACCATACACGTATAATAGAATGCCACAACGCCAAAACCAGAGATATAGAAAATACTATTACCAAATAAAATTCACAAAGGATAAGAAACAATGGAATTATATAAACATAGTTTGAAAGTCATCAGTAGTACCTTTATATGATTATAAGTAATATATCTTGTGCTCAAAACGTTATCAAATAAAATTATTAATACTCTATCACACCGTACGATTTATCCCGAAAGAGTTAGTCCGATGATGGCAGTAAAAATTCATAAAATCCAATTCACATTCTAAACCTGTTCTCGTCAATTAAGCTACAAGACTACAGACTATCTGTCGTGAATATTCACAAGATAGTCTTTCGACTGCCTTCTCTGACTATAATATGTATCGAATACTGGATAGACACTAATGTTATGCGTCTAGTCCTTCATATGGTGTAGACTGAATTCCATCAATCAGTAACCGTTACAGTCCTACAGGAGATCGATTGCGAGCCCAGATAGCTCAGTGGTAACGTTTCTGACTATAGTGCCGGTTGACTCAGGTTTAATCTCAGAAGGGACACGAGTTCCTTCAAGATTGCAGATACGCCTTGCTCACTGGTGAGTGTTAACATGCACAAAACCTAAGTGTAGGATTTCCTTCTGATTGCTTCCAACCATCTGACAGCAATATATATATATATATATATAGTTCTTTTCCTTTTGAATTCTTTGTGTATCCAGTTGCGTAATACTAATGGTTTCCATTCTTTAAATCATCAGTTCAAGTATGCAAACATTTTGTGTATTGATAATGTAACTAATTTTTTTAAGTTACATATAGTTGACAAGAAGCAACGAAATAAAATGATATCAACATATTATCCTGCTCAGTTTAAAGTTTTTTCTCAAGTTCATCAAGCAAAAGAATTGTACTTGATGAAATTACTCCTACTATTCTTCCTTAACATGGATATGTACAACACATCAACGTTGGGGATATTTTAAGGTGATTAATCAATACGAATTTGAAGAAATCAAACAAATTCGAAAGTCATAGTACAAATTCTGTATAATTTTATAAATAAAATGAGAGTTACGTAATAACAATAATAACAACAATAAAATCCAGTTAAATCAAACTTACCTTTTTATTTGCCAATAACTATGTTCTACATTAAACTAAATTAACATAGGCGTATTGTTTATGACAGTTTATTAGCTTATAAAACAAATTAATGTATCATAGTACTGAAGACTTAACTACCAAATTACAGAATTCTATTCCTTCACTGCTGACATATTCATCTTATTTACAAATTTTTGGAACCGTAGAATATTGTACAAGTTAGATGTTAACAAGTGGATAACCAATCGATAACTGCTACCTTGACGTGGTGGTCAGTCTTGCATACAGTACTGAAAGCTGGCTACCTGAAGGTCATACTATTCCTTAAAGGTTATTTGGATAGCGATTAGACTAAAAGCAGCTACCATAGTTTAAGTGGTTTATAATA